CCTTCAGTTGATTGGCTGCTCATAGCCACTCATCATAGAGTTAACTATGACTGTATTAGGTTTTATAACCATAGGGATAAATATATCTCAACTGCTAAGCCTTGGGGATCCTAGACTAGTCAAGTTGACACAGAACCCTAACTATTACACTGGGTTTAGTTGTTGGTTCATAACTTTTAATAATAATTACATTAACTGGTCTTTCTTGTTTTTAAGACCCTATGCAGGGTTTACAAGGACTTACTGGTGAGTTTGAACCACTGACCTTGGGGTTAGCAGTCCTGTGCTTATTGTACAGCATCACACCAGGACTCCAGTCTTCCTTGTAGGCATATAGATATTATTCTGTCACAGATAGCATTTTATTTTAAGATCGATCTTGAAATGTTCATTTTGATAATGATTGTAACACCATTCATTTTCAATTTGTCATTCCTTGCATAGTAAACCATGTAATTGTGTGATTCAAAATGGTCAATAACTTCCCACTTCAGCTCACTAATGAATAGGTTATCAATTTTATGTATTCAATTTCATTTTTTACTTCTAATCTTCTTAGCTTCTCCCACATGCCAATTATCAGTGGACGTTTACAGCTGTTTCTTATTTTGAGCCATGCCCCATCAACAAATGAAGGTTCTGAAAGTTTTGCTGCATCCACATTATTAAAGTTGACTATACTTTGAGGATTAAGCTCTTCCTAAGTTGTATTTTGGTATTTTGAATGCATTTCAAACTGAGGCTTTCCAACTTGAAGGACTCATCTTCTTGCACTATATCTGAGAATGTTTCATTGCTATTCATAAGGTTGCTGTTTTGTTTTTTTTCCCTCATCTCTCAGAAGCAGACTCCCTATTCCTTCTACCTTGAATATATCCCATCTGAATTTAGTAACTGTTTTAAGAATGTTGTTGTTGTTAATGGTTCTGACCCATAGCGACCCTGTATAGGGCTTCTGAGGAGCAACTGGTGAGCTTGAACCGCCGACATTGTGGTTCAAACTGACATTGCTGTCTAGCACATTAACCCACAGTGCCACACCTAGACTTGATATATTGAACACTAGTGACTGAAGATCAGAGAAGTTGTGGGCTGAGATCAAGAATATCATACATGAAGAAAGCAAAAGCTCACTAAAAATGCAGGAAAGAAAGAGAGCCTAAATGGATTTCAGAAGAGACTCTGAAAATTGCTCTTAATATAGAGAAACTAAGGCTACTTTAAGAAATAATATAGAAATGAACAGAAAATTTCAAAGTGCAGTTCTAGAAGACAAAGTAAAATATTATAATGAAATTCACAAAAACCTGGAGTTAGAAAATGAAGAATATGCTCAGCATTTCTTAAGCTAAAAGAATTGAAAAATCCAAGCCTTGGGTTGCAGTATCAAAAGATGCTATGGACAATATATTTAATGCTGCAAAAAGCATGAGTAGAAGATGGAAGGAATACGGAGAGTCACTCTACCAAAAAGAATTGCTAGACATTCAACTATTTGAGGAGGCATCATCTCATCAAGAATGGACGTTATTGATGGAAATTTCACTTATATCATTGGCAAAAAAAACAAGGCTCCTAGAATTTATGGAATAACAATTGAAATATTTCAACAAATTGATATAATGCTGGAAGTACTTGCTATACCAAGAAATTTGGAAGAGAGCTGCCTGGTCAATTGAATGAAAGAGATCCACATTTTTACCCATTTCATAGGAAAATGGCCCAACAGAATTTGGAAATTACTGTAAAATATCATTAATATTATTTAATAAAATTTTGCTGAAGATCATTAAAAAATAGTTGCAACAGTTCATTGCTACCAAGTCAAATTCAGAATAGGAAGTGGAATAAAGGATATCATTGTTGACATCAGATGGATCTTAGCTGAAAGCAGAGAATACCAAAGAGATGCTTGCGCTTTATTTGCTTTGCAAAATCATTTCATTGTGTGAATCATAAACTATGGCTGATGTTGCAAAGAATGGGAATTCCAGAACATTTAATTGTGCTCATGTAGAACCTGTACATAGACCAAGAGGAAGCCATTAGAACAGAACAAGGGGATGCTGAGTGGTTTAAAATCAGAAAAAGTGTATGTTAGTGTTGTATCTTATTCAATCTGTATGCTGAGCAAATAACCCAGAACCTGGACTGAAGAAGAGCACAACATCAGATTAGAGAAAGGATCATTGACAGCATGCAATGTGCAGACAACACAATCTTGCTTGCTGAAAGTAAAGAAGACTTGCTGATGTAGATCAAAGATAGTCTTCAACATGGATTACACATCAATGTAAAGAAAACAAAAATCCTTACAACATGACCAATAAGCAACATCATGATAAATAGAAAAAAGGAAGAAGTCGTCAAGGATTTTGTTTTACTTAGATCCACAATCAACACTTATGGAAGCAGCAGTCAAAAAAGCAAATGTGATATATGGGGCACTTTTGTTGCAAAAGACTTCTTTAAAGTGTTCCAGAGCAAGGATGTCCCTTTGAGAACTAGGGTGGACCTGTCTCAAACTGGTATTTCCATCATCTTATAGGCATGTGGGTCCTGGTGTGGCACTGTAGGGTAAGCACTGTACCACAAATTGGTTAGAGCTATGAGGTTGACGATTCAAACTCATCAGTCACTCCTTGGAAACCCTATTCAGGGTCACTATGAGTTGGAATCAACTCCATGGTACATAACAACAACAATAATATATTCATGTGAAAGTTGAGCATTGAGTAAGGAAGAATGGAGAAGAATTGATGCATATGAATTATGGTGTTGGTGAAGAATATTAACTATGCATGGAATGCTAGAAAAAGGAACAAATCTGTTTTGGATGAAGCAAAGACAGACTGCTCCTTAGAAGTGAAGATGATAAAACTTCATCTCACATACTTTGTACATGTTATCAGGAGGGACCTGTCCCTGGAAAGAGACATCATGCTTGGTAAAGCAGTGTTAGCAAAAAAAGAAGACCCTCAGTGAGATGGATTGACACATTGGCTGTAACAATGGGCCCAAACATAGGAAAGATTGTGCGGATTGTGTAGGTGGTGGTGTGCTGTGGAGTCTGTTTTGACTCATGGCAACCCTTGAATGGGTTTTCAAGGCTGTGAGTTTTTACAGGAGCAGAAAGTCTCTTTCTCCTGTGGAATGGCTGGTAGTTTCGAACTTCTGACCTTTAGGTTAGCAACCCAACTCCTACACCAACTTTCCTTTCCATATAAAGTTGGCGATTAGGTTTTCCGTCTTTTAAGAATAATGATTCAATCTGTATTGGATTGCATTATATCTGTAAAGGCCATTTAAAAATTTCTTGTTTGGTTTCTAGTATTGCATTTGATGTCCTTCCATTGCTGTGAACTTATGAAATACATAAATTTAAATCAAGAGTTGAGAGGTTCAATTGGGCAAATTGGAAAGGTTTCCATTTAACTTGACAGTTTTACTCAATTTCTTGAGCCATTCAAGCTCACATTTGGTCTTAATTTTCTGTGCAGTATTACAAATGTGGGGCATAAACCATATCTCACTAACTGAAAAATATTTTTAAAGCTGTTGTGGAATAACTGGCCATATAAGACGATAACTTTTCTCTTTAGCCTGGAAGACTCAAATCTGCCCATTCTATCATGGTCAAAAAATAATCATGTTACAAAACTGTTGTTATATAGCAGAAGATAGGTCCGTTTTTCAAGATCAGAGAATTTGGTGTTTTCAAGATCAGAGAATAGAGACTTGTGGTTAATTCAACTTTGCTGATGTTGTCCTATATTAAAGACTGAGTGGTAGATTCTGTAATTTATCAGCTGAAATGTTGATGAAGAAAAATGGTTTCTGGAATTGAAGGGTACACAGCATCACCTGAAGCAGTATCAGCGATTGCTTCTATACTTATTCCCCCTCATTCTTACAACCAGACATATGAATCTAAGTACAGGAGCATTTGAAAGTTCATTCTAGACTCTCCAGTTCCTCCTGGATGATTTTTATACATACAGAGATATGTTTTAGGTTCATTTTATTTATTATACTTGATTACAGTGCATTTGTTTTTTTTTTCTTTATGGCTTTAATTATTTTCTATTTTTATATTATATCATGGTAGCTCTGATGGCTCTGTAGGATAAGCACTAGATTACTAACTGCAAGGTCCACAGTTCAAACCCAATAGTCACTCCAAGGGAGAAAGATGAGACTTTCTACTCTGGTAAACATTTAGCTTCAGAAACCGTATACCTGGTCACTATGAGTTGGAATCTACTCGATGGCAGTGAGTTTGGTTCGGCAAACTGTGTCCATAACATTTTCCATGAATCCATTTTTAAGTGTACAATTTAGTGGCATTCATTGCATCCATTACGTTTTGTAGCGTTCACTACTATCTACTTCCTAATTGTTTTCATCCTCCCAAGTGAAAACTATGTGATTAATGTTTAAGGTAGAAAAGTAATACTTCTAGTATTCTCTTCTGATTGGTTTAGGGAAGAGTTTTGTGCTTTGGATAGCAGTTTATTTCAGAATAAGAAATATATTATTGTTAAAAGTAAGGGTATACTGGTTATGTTGCTATTTCTTTGAATCCAGCATTAAGAACACTCAATTATCTGCCCTTCACCACCACGCCTAACCCCACAATAAATCAAAACCAAACCCACCGCCATATAGTCTATTCCAACTCATAGTGACCCTCTTTAGAGTTCCCAAGACTGTAAATCTTTACAGGAGGAGACAGCCTTTTTTTCTCCTTTAGTGCCACTGGCAGGTTTGAACCACTGACTTTATGGTTAACAGTCCAGTGCTTACCATACAGCACCACCAGGGCTCTTAACAGATGTGGAAACTTTTCCTGATTATTATGATATATAAGCTTAGTAGTAACATTTTTAAAGGAATATGAAAGGACTTCTTTAGTCATAGAGTATCTGTAATGTGGCAGGTACAAGTTAACCTAATTCACTAATTATAAATCTATTCTCTGTATCACTTTCCTTTTCTAGGGAGAGCCCACCAGACGATCTATAGAACACAACATATCAATCCTGTCTCCCCACCCACCAGTTGGTCAGAAGAGTAAACTAGGTCATACTGTTCTGGACGAAAAAGGACATTCCAGTCCCTTAACATTGGTGAGTCATACTAAATACTCTTTCATATACTATCTCAACTAATTAATTTATAGTTTTTAATTAGTCTCAGAAAGATTGCCTTCTGGGAACATGTTTGTATGATTCTGAAAATCCTACTGAATGGAAACCATCATTTATTTGTTCACTGGGTTTCTGCTGAAATGCTGCCCCCCAATCAAATCCATTGCATGTGTTATTGCTAGACTAGTTGTCCTGAAGTTCAGATTACTTATGCCCCTTACATATCCCAGTATTTTCAGCATATCAACTATAGAAAAGCCTAGATTTTTCATTTGACATTTAAGACCCTAAACCACATATCTTCAATTCAGTGACCCCTAATATTGCTCCCCACAATTACCCTTTAGCACCCTACAAAGTAGTGAATTTTAACCACTAGTTGTCCCATGCATGTTCTATATTTTGTGACCTCTAGATATTGTTCTCATTTCCTCTATTCCCACTTTATCTATATTATTTATACACAGACATTCAGAGGCACAGTATATTGGTCCACATATTAATACTTGAGGTTTTTAAATTAGAAGAATGTGCACATACTCCAAGATAAAAATAAATGTACAGAAATTCTATTTAAAGAAATTGCACACTGACATTTTAGTCCTGCTCAATTCATTTATAATCTAAAGGAGGTATTTGCTTGAAAGAAGATAAGGAAACTTGAAACAATAACATATAGGAAAAGATTTGTAAAATATTTGCTGTAGGTTTATGATAGTTTAAATTGTAAATGAATTGTTTGATCGTGTCTTTATTCTTGCTTTGTGTAGGCTAATATATTTCCTTTTATCATGCACATTTTTTTATACTGTACAATATTTATAGAGAAATCATAATGCTTTCAGATTGAAAAAGTAGGCTCATCATATAGAGTGCCAAGCTTTGTCATTTTTCAAAAGCTAAATATGTTTTCATATTTCTTGATGAACAGCTCAAGTTATGAAAAGCAACCATATTTTCTTTGTTGTTGCCATTTTTCCAGGTTTTATTTGAATACACACACACACACATGCAAAGAATTCCTTCATGAGACAGCAAATTCACTAGACTCTCCAAAGCTTAACCCAGGAGAAACAAAAGAAACATTCAAGTGCTGTTTTCTATCTTCTCACCTGTTTCAGAGAGGAAAAACCCTTGAAATGCTTTCTTTTCAATTTTCCAGCTGAACACCCTCAATAAATAGTTTATGATACATCCAGGAGATCTTAATGTGGCAGGAGTGAGAAAGTAATTTAAAAATTACAGGAAATACTGACACTAACACTTCAGAAGCATTTCCACCTGCTAAGTCACAGGCCCTCACTTGGCTAGCCCAGTAATACTTCTCCACCATAAGGAATACCTACTAAGGTCTTGGAAATGTAGTTCCCATTATATAGAAATTTTGTTTTACTTTTTGTCTTTCCAAACTTTACATCCATTAAATTTGACTCCTGACCTCTAAGTGCCATTGAGGTGAAGATAATTATCCTTTGGGGATACCAGCATATATTTTTCTTTTGAGATTTTTGAGTGGATAAGGAAAGCATCCTGTGAATAGTTGTTGTGTTTTGGTCACTAATTGCTCCTAAACTTTCAAAATAGCATATAAGCTTTTAGCTGTACCATTCCCATTAAAACTGCAGAAAGTCATTCAGCTAATTCTGCTTGGAAAATTCACCCCAAGAGATCTTCTACTAAGAATTAAAAGTGCTCAGATAAGCTGAGCAATTACCAGGTAGTCAAATTCAGTTCACATTCTGGTACAGATTTGAGAGTGTTAAACTACAGTGCCTTATTTATTACAAGAAAATATACTATGAACAATTTAAAATACAGCAAATTTAAGGTAGCGTCATATGTGCACTAGAACAGTTTGTAGCTCACAGCTGCTTGTTAATGGCACAGATTTGTTTTTAGAGGTAAGTGTAATCAGTTAAACATCTGACTGCCACATTCATCTAACTGAATGATATCTGTATGCAAATGTGGGGAAATAAAATTTGAAGCACAACAGTCAATAGATCATGTTCCAATTTACAGTAGCCCACTTTCTTGATAAGGAGTTCTGGTAGCGTAGTGGTTACGAATCGGGCTGTGAACCACAAGGTCAGCAGTTCGAAACTACCATCTGTTCCGCGGGAGAAAGATGAGGCGTTCTGCTCCCGTAAAGATTTACAGCCTCGGAAACCCTGTACAGGGTCGCTATGAGTCGGAACCGACTCCACGGCACTTAACAACAACAACAACTTTCTTGATGTCCTGTATCAGATTATCAGTGGTTTGCATTCAGTTGGATTATTTCACAGTTGTTGTTAAGTGCTATTGAGTCAGTACTGACCCATAACGACCCTGTATAGGGCTTCAGAGGAGCAGCTGGTTCAGACCGACATTGCACTCCAGTACATTAACCACAGTTCCACACATTAGAGAGCCCTAGAACGTATTTATTTCATAGATTTCAAAAGAAATCTGTTGGGTAATCTGACTCGCCATTCAGAAATCGCTAGTGTAATTTCTCTTGTAGGTATTAATTTTTTTACATTTAATATGCACTTATCCACCATTTGTCTGTCAGTTTGATAGACAAGGTGGCTTGTGAGTTGCTGTGATTCTGGAAGCTATGCCACCGGTATTTTATATACCAGCAGGGTCACCCATGGTGGACAGGTTTCAGATGAGCTTCTAGACAGAGACAGACTAGGAAGAAGTAGTGACAAACTACTTCTGAATATGTAGTCACTGAAAACCTTCTGAATAGCAGAGAAAAACTGTTAGATATAGTGTCAGAAATTGAGCCCCTTAAGTTGGAAGGCATTCAAAATGCTACTGGGAAAGAGTAGCCTCTTCAAAGTAGAGTTGACCGTGATGATGTGAATGGAGTAAAACCTGTGGAAGTAAAGTCCACAGGACTTTAATTTGCTGGTGGGGCACAACTCAAAATGAAGAGAAACAGCTATAAACATCCATTGAAAATCAGAACATGGAATGTATGAAGTATGAATCTGGGAAAACTGGAAATTGTCAAAAATGAAATGGAACACATAAACATCTTAGGCACTAGTGAGCTGAAATGGACTGGTTTTGTCAATTTTGAATCTGACAACCACATGTTTTACTATGGCAGGAATGACAAATTGAAGAGGAATGGTATTGCATTCATTGTCAAAAAGAACATATCCAGATCAGTCATGAGGTACAACTCTGTCTGTGATAGGATAATATCCATGTGCCTAAAGGGAAGACCAGTTAATACCACTATGATTAAAATTTATGCACCAACCACTAAAGCCAGTGAGGATGAAATAGAAGAACTCTAACAACTTGTTCAATCTGAAATTGATCAAACATGCAATCAAGCTGTATTGATTATTACTGGTGATTAGAATGCAAAGGTTGGGATCAAAGAGGAAGGATCAGTAGTTGGAAAATATGGCCTTGGTGATAGAAATGATGCTGGAGATCACATGATAGAATTCTGCAAAATCAATGATTGGTTTATTTAAAATACCTTCTTTAGACAGCATAAGAGATGACTATAAACATGGACCTCTCCAGATGGAATACATAGAAATCAAATTGACTACATCTGCTGAAAGAGATGATGGAAAAGGTCCACATCATCAGTCAAAACAAGGCCAGGGGCAGACTGTTGAACAGACCTTCAACATGTAGTCAATTTGTATGCAAATTCAAGCTGAAGCTGAAGAAAATGAAAACAAGTCCATGAGACCCAAAATATGACCTTGAATATATCCCACCTGAATTTAAAGATCATTTGAAGTACAGATTTGATACATTAAACATTAAAGACAGAAGGCAAAGAAGAGTTGTGGGATGACATTAAGAAAATCATACATGAAGAAAGCAAAAAGTCATCAAAACAAGAAAGAAGGAAAAGGTCAAAATGGATGTCAGAAGAGCACTGAAACTTGCTCTCCAGCGTAGAGATGCTAAAGCAAATAGAAGAAATGAGGCGGTACAAGAACTGAACAGAAAATTTCAAAGATCAGCTCGAGAAGATAAAGCCAAATATTACAACAAAATATGCAAAGATCTGGAATCAGAAAACCAAAAAGGAAGTACATGCTCAGCATTTCTCAAGCTGGGTGTCCTGAAGAAAAACTTCAAACCTCGACTTTCGTTATTGAAAGATTCTCTGGGCAAATTATTGAATGATGCAGAAAGCATCATTCAGAAGAAGATGGAAGGAATACACATTCACTGTAACAAAAGGAAATGGTTGATGTTCAACTGTTTCAAGAAGTAGCACATGATCAAGGACCAATGATACTGAAGGAGGAAGTCCAAAGTACATTGAAGGAATTGGCAAAGAACAAGGCACCAGGAATTGATGGAATAAAAATTTAAATCTTTCAAGAAAGTAATGCAGCACAGGAGGCACTCACTCATCTCTGCCAAGAAATTTGGAAGACAACTAACTGGCTGACTTTTTGGAAGACATCCATATTTGTGCCTATTCCAAAGAGGGGTGACCTAATGGAATGCAGAAGTCATCGAACAATCTCTTTGATATCCCATGCGAGTAAAGTTTTACTAAAGGTAATACAGATATGGCTGCAAGCATACATTGACAGAGAACTTCCAGAGGTTCAAGCTGGATACAGAAGAGGTTGTAGAATGAGGGATATCATTGCTGATGTCTGATGGATCTTGGATGAAAGCAGAGAATATCAGAAAGATGTTTACCTGTGCTTTATTGACTCCGCAAAGGCTTTTAATTGTGTGGATCATGACAAGCTATAAACAATATTGTGAAATACGAGTATTCCAGAAAACTTAATGTGCTTATGAGGAATCTGTACATGGAGCAAGAGGCAGTGGTTTGAACAGAACATGGGGACACTGGATGGTTTAAAATTAAGAAAGAAGTGTGACAGGGTTGTATTCTTTCCCCATACTTATTTAATCTGTATAATGAGCAAATAATCCA